TCAATGTTCAACAAAGGTCGAATTCCAAATTCGTACATCATTGAACAGTCGAACAACTACTTCAGTCAGCTGATAAGATCAGTGATGAAAAGTTGATGCTACACACCCAGAGCGAGATCCCAGTCCGGATTCTCGCTTCGTTTCTCAACCAGCCTGGTGAGCCAGGAGACGTGCACGAAGAGAGGACACCACTGTTCGAGGAGTTTGGTTCGAGGAGTTTTAGGGAGCGACAGCTATTGACAAGATCATGACGCACTCTTAGTGCCTTGTCCATGGATCCCTGCCTTCCTGACTGCAGTAGGCAAACAAGGTGCAGTATACCAGCTTGCAAAATTTGAATATCAGCGGGACTGGTTGCCAGCAGATTTCCACTAGGTACGTATAAATCACTGTCGATAAAATTGTTGAATGCGAAGTAACTCCCATTTTTGCAATGATCAAGCGCAGCGTCTAGCCTTCCCGAGAGGATATTATATGAATCTTGCGATCCGGGAACGAATCTGGACCCTATGGCAGCAACAGCAAGGAGAAGCAGCCATCTCTGGGGACTTCCTTCTTCGAAAGTTGCTTTACGCAAGAAAGGAAAGACCGGGTTGAAGCGGGCAAAGTACTGCTGCACGTAGCGCTCAATTTGCGAATAAGTAGGGAATGCCGCCGATTCGACGCCTGATTCGTTCGAATCAAGCCCGTGGTGTCTGAGCGTGTCACGCAATGTACTGTACGCTTCTTCAGAGCATAGTGTAGATGAGCAGGATGGGTAAACTGTTTCCGGTGCATTGCTTATCTTGAGACCGGTCGGTAGCGTCTGATCAATAGTAAGTGAGCCACGATCATGATATCGGCCTCTGAATGGCGCACGTGAGCCATCGCCGTTAACATAGTATTCTGCACTAGCGGTGAGAGGCGTTTGCGTGCTCTGCGCGCTGTCGCAACTTGAAGTTTCAATCACCAAAGAGGTAGGTTGGTGTGTTTGCTGGCGGAAACCGTGATCCATGTCATGTGTCGTTGGGATAATGGCGTCTGGTGTTTGTTGTCCGCGCGGGTCAAGTGGGGACTTCCCAGTGCCATTGTTGGGTAACATGTTCCAGTCAATATCGTACTGATATCCAGGCGAGATCCAATTGATGCCTAATGGGCCAAGATCGGGAAGGTCAACGTCGTAAAGCGTAACAACGTCACCCAATGACGCACCCCAGATGCCATTCTCCTCTCCAGGTTCACCAGGAGCTGCGTCATCCCGACGCATTGCAGTACCGTCACTTGACGGAATCTCTACTGCGCTGTCGACTGCAACAGTTTCATGGGCCATTCCTAGCAAGGCGCTTGAACCCAAGTTTTCGGGTTCGGCCGACTGCATTCCTCTCCGCTCGCTGGTATTGCCTCGTGAAACTGCTCTACCTGAGGCAGGGTAGCAACATGGCAAGTTGCGACTCGAGCATCTCTTGCATGGTAAACTCCGTGAACAGCGAACGCGATCAAGCGCACACTGCTTACATGCTCTGGAAGAAACAGGTGTTGCTGACACTTCGTTTTGCTGCTCATGTGATGCCTTGTGACGGGTCAAGACATCACCGATTTTGGTTAGATGTCATCTCCAATACTTAGAAGATAACTTACAGTCGGGAAAACCGTTTTTCGCAAAAGGAGCATCTGTATGGCTTTTCGTGTGTATGTATGCGAAAATGACGCGTGAGATGCTCTGGCCTGTGGAATGTTTGGTTACAAATAGAGCAGCTAATATGCATCTTTGGCAACGACTGAGTTGGTATCACACAGGCCGGTGAAGGAACAACTAGAGCACTAACACCTTGGCCGTGGCATTGTTCGAAAACTCTTGTAGCGAGTGTGATAGGTGGGCTTTCTGATGTCAAGGGAACCAGGAAGACAGTGCGGGGTTGTCTGGACAGCTGACCAGGTTTTCGTGTTGAGACTAGGAGGTACCAGCCAGGAACGAGGGGAGGGAGCAAGGGGGAAGACACATTCGGGCATATCATTGCACAACATCTTGGTCCGAGGCATTAATCTCTGCCAGACTTGTGTATTAGAAATCGCACGTCGTTGTTTACGGCCTGATAAATACAGGCATTTCCTGCAAAGGAGACGCGGTAGTAATATGGATGCCACCCTCGTAGGTATCTTCGCTCCATAGCCTCTGCCACTTCTTGCCATCACTCAGCTTTGGTAGATACACTGTCGTCTGCGTCTGACCCTCCGAAAAAACCGGGCAGCAGAGATACTTGTCGCCATACATGTACTGTTCATCGACTTCCCAACAAGTGGCATCATCCGGAAACTCGAAGAAGAGCGTCCGCATGACTGGGGTGCCATGCTCGTGAGCTTCCTTCATAAGCTTTCGCGTGTAAGGTCGAAGCTCTTCACGAAACTGCATGTACCTTTTGCAGATCTCAAACACCTCCGGCCCGTATGACCACACCTCGTTGGCTGCACCGCTGCGACATGATGCTCCTCCAGTATTACCGACCTTCGCCTGCCTTGGCTCGCGATCGCCATGAAGTCTCATAACAGGGCAAAACGTTCCCCACTGGAACCATCGCACGAACAACTCCCGGAACTTAGGGTCATTGGGATCACCCCCATGGAAGCCACCAATATCTGTTGTTCAAGGTAAGTCTTCAATTAAAGCCAGGACTGGAAGGAGGTTACCTGTTGTCCACCAGGGAATACCGGCGATGCCCATAGATAACCCGGCCGCTAGTTGGTTTCGGAAGCTGCTCCACGAGGAAGCAATATCGCCACTCCATACAAGGGCACCGTACTTTTGACTGCCTGCCCAAGCACAACGAACAAGATTAACAACTCCAGTCTGGCCCTCGTCTAACATGCCCTCGTAAAAGGCACGCGAGTATTCTCGTGGAAAGATGTTGCCGATTGCCAGGTTGGATCCAAGATGATACCTGTAGTTGTCGAGGTCGTACACCGTGTACTCAGGCTCAGCTTCGTCCAGCCAGAAAACCTTGATGCCCTTTGAGTAGTAGTTTTGCTTCACCTTACCCCACACGTACTTTCGCGATGCTGGATTGGTTGGATCGAAATGTACAGTGATGCCTTGGAATGTCATAGCGATGCGCTCACCACGCTCTGTGCGAATGAGCAAACCCTTCTCCAGCATCTCTTCATAGTTCTCAGACTTGCGATCGACTGTCGGCCAGATAGAGACCATAAGTTCAATGCCCATATCTTGCAACTCCTTGACCATGGCGTCTGGATCTGGCCAATACGTCTCATCAAAGCGCCAATCACCCTGTTTCGGCCAGTGCTGAAGCTCGTCAATACAAGTTCTGAACGGGATTCCAGTCTGCCGAAACTCACAAAGAAGTCGATGACGATCAAATCAATTGGCAGTTGGAGTCGTTTGTACTCTCGTGCTATATTGAGAAGCTCATCCTGGGTCTGGTAACGCAACTTGCATTGCCAGAAGCCGAGGCCATATTCTGGCATCATAGGTACCTTGCCAGTGGCCTCGGCGTATGCCTCAATAATCTGTGCTGGCGTCTCTCCTGCTACGATCCAGTAGTCCAAGACCGTTGTTGACCGAGCCTCGAAGCTCATGATGTTTTTGCCAAAGATGGCAGTCCCAACGGACGGATTGTTCCACAGGAAGCCATAGCCACGAGAAGACAGCGCAAATGGTACGCTGGCCTGAGAGTTGCGGTGCGCAAGTTCGATCTGAGTTCCTTTGATATCCAGATAGGGCTGTTGGTACTGCCCCATGCCATAGAGCTTCTCCTTTGGATCGAGGCTCTCGAACCGGGCCGTGAGATGATAATCACCACCAATGATTGGTTTGAACTCGCGAGCTTCAATCTCGAGAGCGCTACATTTCGGATCTGTAGGCTCTCGCCGGTTCCGAGCAAACTCCTCGAGCAGGACTTTTCCACTGTCATCACGGACAGTCACTTTACCCCGCTTCGTTACTGTAGCGTTGATACGGCCGTTCACCAGGGTAGCGCATTCATCTGTGATGTTAACATCCGATTTTGTGGGCTTGGCTTGAAGCAGCGCCCAGTTTTCGGTAGGCATGCTACTGGCTTTGGTCGCACGAACACGGAGAGAGTTTTGGCCCCACGGTTCGATCCATAGCCGTTCTGCGTCGTACGCAAATACGAGACGACCGTGCTCTTGGAGGAACATCGTTCAGCTTAAGAAAAGTATGTTTGTGGTTAAGTCAGAAACGTCTATTGAAAAGCGGTTTGAGTGAAGCCACGCATCAGATGCGTGCGCACAGCTTTACAGGCAAGCCAAAGCGCTGCGGCTGCAAGACCGTGACAAAAGAACATCATTAATGTAGATCAGCGGGGTCCACCAGGCTCGTGTACCAGTACGTGCAAGAACAGTACACTTTCCCCGTGTTGTTCGGAGAGAAGGATTTGTCTCCACGCGCCTCCACCGGAGCATGAGGGGAAGGGGCGCTCGAATAGTAGTGGGCTAGTGTGTTCTCCACCAGAGAATTCAACCCGTTTTCTAAGCGTATTGTTATTATGCCATGATAGTCTTTATAGCTTAAGACTATCTCAACACTTGAAATCTCAGAAGAATATGACCAAAAATAACCCTAGAAACACAAAAAAACTAGTCATTTACAACGGCTGCTGTTCTATACAACAAAACTACTTATCCAAGCATTGTACGTTGCTGAGCCTGCTGTACCCCACCGGAGACATTGTATCTCAACATGGGTTATGCGGGGTTACAGGCATCCCTTCCCTCTCCACCGGAATTTCCACTAGGTCTACACAGATTTGGCAACAATTAATTTAATTTCGCGCTATTGTCACCCCGCATGGCGTCCACAGCTACAATACTGCTTCTTCACAGTCAATCGAATATTCTTTTGAGAATATGTCGCTGGAAAATAATTCCCGGATTAATTTAAAATGCTAGTAGGAGCTTGCCAAAGACGTGCATACATAAGAAGAGATTGATGTACCATTCATTGAGGCATGCTATTAGGCCTGTGACCGGTTCATTCTCGAGAAAAGATGAGATCATCCACAATTGCTAGTATTCTGCTTTCGAGCCTCACGCTCCTCGAAGCAGCCAGCATCCGAAGAGCAGCCAAGGGCGTTGCAACCGTTGACCTTTCCAAGACTTCGGGCCAGGCAAAATCCCTTGCTTCAGGATGGATCTACGGATTTCCCGACAACGGGACAGAAGTAGACACTTCGATTCCCGCGAATTACATTACTGACGTCAAATTCGGTGCCAGCCGAGCTGGCGGTGCTCAAACCTCGACTCGTGGCTGGGTCGATGGTTACGACAGCTACCTTCCGCGCTTCAAGTCCACCCTTTCGAATTACCGTACCACTCGGAAATACAATGGCGAGTTTATACTCCTCGTCCACGACCTATGGGGAGCAGACGGTAGCAGCATCCCTCTCTTCCCCGGCGACAATGGCAACTATACCGAAACCGACGCCTTCTTGACCCAGCTCGTCAAAGACATCAAGGCCAACAACATGCTCGACGGCCTTATCCTCGACATCTGGAATGAGCCTGATATTGACTTATTCTGGGCTCGTACATGGCCCCAATTCCTCGATTACTACGTCCACGCCCACAACTTCCTCAGGCAAGTTCCCACACACATGTCACTTTCTACTTTCTCCCTAAACCACTAAGCTAACCAACCCTCTCCCCTACCCAGAAAAAAACTTCCTTCAACCATGCTAAGCGGCCCTTCCATGGCCGCCTCCCCTAGCACAAACTCGGAAAACTGGCAAACCTGGCTCAGCACCATCGCCAGCAAAAACGCCGTCCCGGATATCTACTCCTGGCACCAAATCGGCAGCTGGTCCCGCCAACCCGACGCCACAATCCCCGACTTCAACACCCTGCGCTCCTCGAACAAACTCCCTGAACGCCCCATCGACATCAACGAGTACGCAGCAAAAGAAGAGCAAACCCCCGGCTGCTCCGTGTACTACATTGCCCAACTCGAGCGGCACAACCTGCGCGGTCTACGCGCAAACTGGGGCTCTGGAACGGGCCTGCACGATTCGCTCGCTAATCTGGTTTTTCCAGAGAGTGGCGCTGGGTATCGTCCGAATGGCGAGTGGCAGTTGTACAAGTACTACGCTGGCATGACAGGAGAGAGACTTGCGACAAAGGCCGCGGATGATAGTTTGTTTGACGTGTTCGCGACTAAATCTGCAGACGGCCTTGTCAAGGTTATCGCGGGGACGCGCATTGTGGAGGGTCAGTATGATATTCAGATTAGTGGGTTAGAGGGTGTGGCGGTTAGTGTTGCTACGTATCGTTTTGACTGGGCGGGGCCTGCGGGCGAGATTGGGGCGCCTGTGGCGTTGGGTACGAGTACAGTGAACGTTAGTGATGGGATGGTGAGTGATGTTTTTCTTTCTTCTGCTTCTTTTTTTTTCTCCCCGGTAAGGACCTGGATATGAAGATTGCTAATGTTTCGTCTGAACAGATTACTATTTCGGTTGATCCGGCGACTAATGCGACCGCGTATGCGTATGAGATTTCTGGTGGGAAGTAGTGAACTGTCACCACTCGCCTTGTTGTTGATTTCGATGCCTAGAGAGTCCTAAAATGACCGCGTTCTGGGATTTTGTATGTAAAGTGTATAAAGGCAGTCTCTGCAATTAATCTTCATCTTTCTGTTCATGTATATACCTGTATAGCAGTGGTTTGCTTCCGCCCTAAACATCAATTGTACTTACATGTGATGTGCTTGAGAACTGCATGAATTCCTTCCTATATAATATAGAAATATGGAGTACAGAACCCTAGTTCTTCATAATAGGACTTATAAAATTAGCCTCAACGAAATACATACATAGCTGGTTATTGAAAGCTAATTGGATCGCGTTTCTTCACGCGCGAACACCCTCTCCAGGACCGATTGCAATATGCAGCTAAAGCTGCCATTATAGCAGACCTGGACTCTTTCCATGGCACATCATTTCTCTCGCGCAAGGGCTACTAAACTCCGCGTCAATGTATGGTTTGCTAATTATAAAAGCGATTTTGCGACGGGCTGGCATTGGCAAAATGTTGGTTGGGTTTCTATTGAGCATCGTACGATGACACAATTTTTCAGGCAGCCAGAAAACCAAGGAAAAACATATATCGGATGGAAAATATATACATCTTCCTGCATGATTAATATCGACGGGACAAGGGACAAGGAAGATTCAGACGAGCAAATATCCAAAGTCGAGGACGCGAGGCTAAAAGAGGGTAAAATTGTTTCGAAACGGGCTGCACGGCCGTGCCAGCTGGGGGATCCGCGCTGCATGCAGAGAGAACGGCTGGCCCCAGTGTTTGTTAATTATGGGATTTGGGATTCGACAAAGTGTGCGCAAAGGGATATATTTAGGTAGGGTTAACCCATCAACTAGAAGTAGCGCACACGACCATGTCATAGCTGAGCTATCAGCGCGTTGGTGCTACCCCACGATGCAGCTGACAGCGGGGGGCCAAAAATAAGCCTGCATTCAGTGAGCAAGAAACGAAACAAAACTACCGCAAGACAGCTAGTGCGCGGACGACGTGCAGATGGAGAGCGTTTTGCGGGAAGGTGGCGAAGCGGCTCGGGGACTAAGCAGCAGAGGGTGCAGGAAACATGTTTGTAAGTCGAGCACATGTGAGGCCAGGCCTGGGGAGCCTGGATGCCGCAGCGCTCACATGACTTGGCAGCGGCATAGACGAGGCCTAGGTGTAGTAGAAGCAGGGCGCAAAGGCGTGGGTGGAGCTGGGGTGCTGATGGAATTGCGTACGTATGCACTGGGGCAGTTTGAAGCTTTATGTCGGACGAGCTGCGGGCGTACGAGGACTGGAGTCAGCGAGTCGAGTGTTGGTGAGGCAGCGAGCGGTGATGGACGAGTGCTGTCAGGGCTGATGGTGGTTGTGTGTGGACTGGATGGACTCGAGAACATCAGCGGCAGTGAATTGGATTCAACCAAGTGGGCCGCTAACGCAGTGGGACGGCGCTTGCAGGCCCAAACAGGATTAGCGCGCTTTTTTCTCATGCGTCGGCCAACCACTCAGCTGCTGCAACCGCCATGTTACATTTTGCCCATTTTGCGGGCGTCAAATGTGTACCAGTAATTGGGTATCAGCCATTTCCATGCCCTGCCTCGCTGCACCAGAATCCTGGGCACAAGGCGCTCCCGACGACTCGCCCCCGCCGCCCGTCGTCCCATGGCTGTTTCCTCGGTGTTTCCTCGACCTGGGCCATGCTCTCTTAACGTCTGAAGGCGCTCCAGACGCCAGAGGTACATTCACCCACCACTACCTCATCCTCTGACCCATCTTACGTCGGCAACAAAAGAAAAGAGAGACAGAGACAGAGACAGAGCGCAATCTAGAGCGACAGCGTTGCATATTGCCACGCTGACCGACAGGATAAGCACGAGGCATTGCAATCACAGCTGCCCATAAACCAAGCTTCTGGTCGCATCATCTGTACATCCTCTATCGACTTCTCCCGGGCGTCTATTTCGGGCCACCACTCGCCTCGTTCCTCTGCGCGCCATTGGCATCCACCTCGTCTCCCCAGCCGGCCTATCATACGCGAACCTGCAGTCGTGCCAGCTGCCTGCCTCTAGCCGCCATACATTTAGAACGTTGTAAGTACCCGCCCGCTTTGCCATCTTCTCTCTCCCCACCTGCTACTATCCGTGCTCCCCACCTATCCAATCCTCGCCCGTTGCCGCTTTCCAAGCGCCCCGACAACAAAAGCCCAGCGCTTCGCCCACTTGCCACGCCTTTTCCTTTTCTCCAGCAGGTCTCTTATTGTAATTCGTCGTGTTTCTTCTATCATCCATCTCTTGTAGCCTTTCTCGCGACTCGTCTTAGCTGGGCTGGATTATAGTCGTCGACGTTGTGGCACTGTTCTCTTCCTACTTCTCTTGCCCCCACTTGATGCCATTCCCCATTGCCCTCGAGTAAAACTCGCATATCCTTAGTATGGCCGCCAACGACAAGAAGCTTACCCATATCACCATTGAAAGACGAAGCTCCAAAGACTCTCTCGACGTCAGGACACCACGTGCAGCCCGCTTCGCAGAGGCAACATCAGTTCACTCGCCTATTGACCCTCCTCGGTCACCAGTCGAGTACCCAACGAACCACTACAAGCCACAACCCCAGATCGCCGACACAGGCTTTGGCTACATGCAATCAGTCGAGATGGAGGAAACCGACCGAAGGTACCTTCCTCCCCCAACGCCAAAGACGCCTCTCAAGAGCGCCTTGAAGTCGCCTGGCGCTCCCCCACGGACACCAGCCGGCGCAATGTCCATCATGAGCCCTACCTTTAGGGAAGAGCAGCAGCTTGAGAAGCGCGAGGCCATGACTGAAAAGGAGCAAGCAAAGGATCTGGTATGTTTATGAAATCGCCATCTATGCTACGTGCATTCACTAACACCAACTAGAAAATCAAAGTACGCGTGCGATTGGCAAAGATCTTCCTCCGAGGTGTCAACTTTGCCTGCTCTCTCATCGTTCTCTCCATGGTTGCAACCGCATTTGCCATCTTCAACGCTACCAAAACCCTGGCTCCTCGCAACGGTCTACCTCCATGGGCTAACAACACCAAAACCTGGCCCCAGATTCTCCTGCTTACCATTGCTTGCATTTCCCTGGTCATGTCCATCTTTGTCATCATCGCCTATTGGAGAGGAGGTCACCATCGGGCCGAAAAGGTCGCTGCCTACTACACTGTCTTCGCCGTTGCATTCTTCATCTTCAGCATCATCATGTGGGGCGTTGGTGCAGCCGTCTTCAATCAAAGTAAAGCGCAGAACAACAACAAAGACATGTGGGGTTGGTCGTGCGTTGACAACAAGCGACGACATCTCTTTGAGGATGACATTGCCTATGCCCTTGTCTGCCGTCTTCAGGTATGCATCCCTAAATTCCTCCATTCTACAACCCACTAACAGTGCGTCAGAACTGGGCTCTTGTCTGCTGCATCATCGAAATCGTCATCGAGGTCCTCGTCATTGCCATTTACGGAATTGTCTTCTACCGCTTCTGGTCCAAGCGCAAGCTCCGCAAGTCCATGGCCATGCGCGACCGCGCTCGTTCGGATCTCTACCTTGCTCAGCTGCGCTCCCAGTCCGCTCCCAACACCCCTGGTTTCGGCCCAATGTCTCCTCGCTCCGGCGGCTGGCGCCCACCACCAGGCCACCCAATGTACGTGGACCCACACTCTGCGGCTGAGAATGGCGAAAGCGATAAGGTTCAATACGCATATGCACGTGAAATCGCTCAGCCCCAGCCCTTCACCCTCCAGGCACCACCTATCAAGGTCACTGGTGCGACTCCCAAGGTTGAGCAGGAAGGCTTCGAGGCGCCTGTTCGCACAAACACCGTTTCGCCACCACTTCCATCTCCAGCATTCCAAGAAAGGAGAAACGACCACGTTGCTGCTGCGCCAGGCGAACAGCAGTACGCCGCTGTGCCCATTCCTGGTGCATACACCCCGCTAGCATCACCTTCATACCCACCACCACAGCAACAGCAGCCACAAGCACCTGCTGGCTTTGACTTTGGCCCGACCGTCACCGGCCAACGATAAGTTGTTTTTGGGTATTTTTGTGATTTAGCGCGCATCCTCGTCGTTTCTCTCTTCTCTTCTATCTCATCCGGCAAACGCCCAAAAGAAAAACCTGTCCATCGTATCCACATGGCATGGTTTCGGCGATTTTGACCCTGGAGTGTACATTTTTTTTGTCCCTCATGCGAAAGCCCCGGCTTTGGCCGGCTTGTGCTTAGCTTGTTTCCCTTTGTTCTTGGTCCTCACTTTACTATCGCTAACCAATGGTCGATATACCTGTATTTTTCTTGTTATCGCTTGATACCTTTTTTTTATTTACACAAACTCGAGTAAAGATTGGCGAACTCATCACACCGCTCTCTCTGAACGCAGGTTTATATCTTTTTTTGTATCGTTTTGTTTCTTGATGAGATGGACGATATATAGAGATATGAAAGGGGAGGAACTGGATGGTTTTCAGGAATGCGAAGAATGAACCTAATGCAGACTGGAACCTTTTTCCTCTCTTACCCTTTTTTTCTACGTGCATTGTCATGATGTATTGGTGTGATGTTTGGTATCACTGGTGTTATACCCTACATACAACATGAACTTTGAGGAATAGCGGAATAGCTCAGTCAGTACTCATCACCGCATTCTTGTTTTTTTTCTCCTACCAAAAGAGATTTGAGCAAGGGAAGCTGCGTTATTACCCCACCCGCTACACCCCTCTTGCTCTCTCGCCGTGCTCTTCACGTGATTCCCACATGTGCCAGCGTCTCGCCCGACGGGATGCGTAAGCTGTCACATATGCCTTGCCGGTTCAACGTGCCGTGTCTAACACCCCCCCTTTGATTGTCTCGTGTACGTGATGGGTCGCAGAAGCGGTCGGGTTTACGCGTTCGGGTTGTGATGGTGAGTTGGAGGGGGGGGTGGAGGGGTACGGGCGCTGGTCGGAGGGAAGATGGGGGGTGATGAGGTAGGCGCGCGGGATGGTGAGGGTTGGAAACTAGGCTTTGGACTTTTGGGCTTTGGACTGGGGATTCGGGGTTTCGAATTTTGGATGTGGTTGGTGGATGGAGTGTGTGCAATGTTTTTTCTTTTTGATGATTTTTTTGGTTAGCTTGGAGATGGGATGTATTGCAGCCACAGACATGTGTGCATGCTGTGGCTTAGATGGTCGCGATACTTTGGGGTTGAGCTTGCTAGGCAACAACGATCCGAATACTTACCCCTCACTTTCTTACTTCACCATATCTCTGTTGACATCTCACAACTGACGATACCCCAAATGCGAGCTAACTATGACAGAAACAAAGTTATGTGAGCCGTGCCGCAGGTTTGTAGTTGGGGACCTTCGGTTGAGAGATGACTACAATTCTCGGTTCGTTGTAGCCTTCGATCACCACGTCGATTTCGACTCGTACAAAGAGGCTATGCAACTGCCATGCTCGATCTGTACCTTGGCATGGTTGAACGCCAAGGAATGTCCTCTGGAATCTGACTTTCAACGGGTCACAGCAGTGTTGTTGTATGGAAAATGGGAGGACACACTAACCTTGCGTTTCTGGAATCTAGGTCCCGATTACAAGAGAATTAGTAGTGCCTGTTTAGTTCTTCAGCGTCTTCCAAGTCCGTCTAGTCAATACAACTGTGGACGATGGCTGATTCATCCATAGCCTCTACCGATGTTTCGATTGGTCGCACTCTGCCCTCAAATACTCGCGAAGCTCTCCCCTTTCTTCTCAAGCAATACCATGACTGTTGTGCCGATCATGTGCAATGCGGTACCCCAGAGTCAGCAGAATTGAATCAGTACCCATCAAGACTTCTTGATGTTGGCCATGAGGGTAGCCCGATCATACTCCGCAGCGCGAAGATGTTCAGTAGTCAAGAATATGTCTGCCTCTCGCATTGTTGGGGAAATTCGAAGCCATACACGCTGAATTCGAAGACACAGCAGGAATTGGAGAAGGGAATTGATGCAGAAAATCTGCCAAAGACATTCCGCGATGCTATTCATGTAACTCGTTGTCTTCGTATCCGTTATTTATGGATTGACTCGCTGTAGGTGATAAACCAATTCGAACATAGGATACCAGCTCACATTAGCAGTTGCATTATTCAGGACAGCGAACCAGACTGGGAGTATGAATCTAGCCGTATGGAACAGGTCTATGCACACGCAGCATGTACGATTGCAGCAACTGCTTCGGGTAATAGTGATGGAGGTCTGTTTTTTGAGAGGCATCCACAACAGTCATTGCCACGCCTTCTAGACATTCATTTCAACCCTGATGCACCCTGGCTAAGGAATAAAGATAAAGCAGTCTACCTGATGGGTACTTATTTGTGCGACATAGAACACATGACCACATACTGCATCGAACGGGCGCCACTTAATTCACGAGCCTGGGTTAGCCAAGAGAGGCAGCTCTCTCGTCGAATTATGCACTTCAGCGATAGCCAGGTGTTTTGGGAATGCTACGGAAGCAGAACTTGCGAAACCTATCCGAATGGAATTCCGCGAGAAGCATTGCCATATTGGTATGATGATGCCACCATGTTAAAGAGGCGTCTTCATGAGTTCTCACAACAATGCGATGCTTATTCGAATGGCATTAAGATAATGCCGCGCTTGGAATCGGGCTTGGACGACAGGCTTTATTGGGCTTGGTGTTCCTTTCGAGTACATTACTCCAGAAGCGCACTTAGTCGGGATAGCGACAAATTGGTAGCACTTTGCGGAATAGCGAAACAAGTTGGAGGTGCCACAGGAGATGAACTTGTCGCTGGGCTCTGGAAGAGTCGAATGATCGAGGAGCTCTGTTGGTTCATATTACGCTTTCCCAATGAAAACCTTCCCGTCGAGCCCACAGAATGGAGAGCTCCTACTTGGAGTTGGGCTGCTTCCAATGGTTATATATGGATGAGTTCAGTGTCCAAGTACCACAGCGGGCACAAAAGTCGACACTTTGAAACAGAGCTTATCGATCTCGACATCGCGACTAAGCTCTCTGGAGAACTCACATACGCATCCATGAGAATCAGGTGTAGGCCAATGCTTGCTACGCTCATACCAGACGCTGAAAATGTGCTCGCTACATACGAGTTTAATTATCACCTCGTACTGATGGAAGATGATGTGCATCTATCAGACGCAAAACTCGGTGGGAATAGTATGAAGATTTCATCTCATGTCCACACGGATGATCCAACTGTTTGTGAGCCACAACAAATTTACATCATCGTGATTCAAAGATGTTTCCATGAAAATCATTTTGATGACGACGGAAATGATGATACACAAAACACCAGGGAGAGCAAGATCTCGGGCAATTCTCGAGGAAGTGTTAGCAACAGTGACGAAGAGGATAAACAGGGTGAAAATGATGAAAGGGATACAAGCATGCTGGAAGGTTTGCTCTTGCAAGCAAGAGGCAATGATTCAGCGACTTTCTCGAGGATTGGAACGTTCCTTGTTGGTCTCTCTAGAGGAGACCCTGGGACGATATTTAATGCTCACCTCAAAGCCGAAGAACGGATTATAACGCTCGTATAGTCCTCACCTTCATACAACTCTGCTTTGTGGCGAAACAAAGCCTCCTCCAATCTCAATAAATACTTCAACTACCCATTTTCACACGACCTACGTCAATTGCCTCGCACGCCAATCCGAACTTTACAAATCAAACCGGCACTCTTCTTGGAAGTAACTGCATGCTATGCTTCCAAACCCCCAAGCAATGGATGGGATAAATAATCCGATCCCACAATTATCCAGAAGCAACATTCGAGACCACCCACGACCTTCCCTTCAGAAGCTCACTACAAAACCTTGTTACTTAGTATGACCACGATCACACCATCAACTCTCAAAAAGCACCAATGTGCGCGTTCAAAACATCCTCTTAGCGCTACACTCCCGCCCCTATACCTTCCCAGCCACTAAGCGTGTGAGATGCACTCCACATGTGTATATACAGCTCCGTTGGAATCTCACCGCTATGTATCAAAATGTATATCTACAGGGCGTATGCAGCCAGTCCGAATTTTCATGGACAATTGGAATTCATTGATCTTAATCGCGATAAACCATGGAACTAGGGGAAACACAACGCCGGGTTTTCTCATAATCTCACTCCAGGTGTCCAATATCTTGATTTCTTTTAACATGGCTATATAATTATATTCCTAGCACCCATTCATGTCCCGCATCCCAGCATTCTGCGGCCGCCGCACCACCCCCTCAAAATTCCTTCTCGAACTCATCTTCAAGCGGCAGCATCGTCTTCTGCAACTCCGCCGCAACCTTATCAACCTCGGCCCACACCCTCAGCAAATTGCGTCCTACAATCTTACCCGCATCCTCATCGCTAACCCCCTGCCTCAACAACTCTGCAATCAAATCCGGAAATTTGGATACATCCTCCAGTCCCTTTGGCGTCTCCTCAATACCATCGTAATCCGTGCCTAGCCCAACATGATCGTACCCAATCAACTCTCCAATATGCTTGATATGGCGCACAACATGCGCCAAGGTATTATTCTCGGGTACGAATTCCGGAAAAGAATTCGGGGTATCTGAAGCCTTGCAAGATACGAAATCGGGGTTAAAATTAACCATGACGAGCGAGTTGCGCTGTTTAACCAGTTGCAAGATATCGTCTGGCACATTGCGTGGGTGAGGACAAACTGCGTATGCAGAGCTGTGACTGAAGATCGGGGGAGCAATACTGCCGTTCCAACCGGGCGCGCCGTTGCCGACGAGGACGTCGCGCATTGTGTCTTGACTGACGTGGGCGAGATCGACGAGCATGCCGAGGCGATTCATTTCTTTGACGAGGTCGCGTCCGGCGGGGCTGAGGCCATGCCAGTGGGGTTTCGCAATCACGGGACTCCAGTCTTTTGCTGTCTCGATGGCGGCGTCGGCGTACTTGTTGTGGCAGTTCCAAGTCAGGGTTGCGTAGCGGACGCCGAGTTGGTGGTAGAGGCGGAGGGTGGAGATTGAGTTTCCGATTTGGTGGAGGCCTTCGATGATGACGGGGGCGATGAAGGTGCCGGTGTTAAAAGCGCGGAGGGCGTCTGCGCTGGTTCGGGTTGGGGTGAAGTATTTGGGGTAGGAGGAGCCTAGGCGGTTGAAGAGGTCGAGTTGTTGGAGGGTGGATTTGACGACTGGGATTGTTTTAGTGTTGGAGGGAGAAGGAAGGGTTACGGAGGCTTGAATTACTGTCGGAATATCTTGAGTCTGAGAAGTTTGTGCCGTCGCCCAGGGGACATGGCCAGAATGCACTCCAGAAGGCGCCGCCCTGGAGTCCCTTCTCTAGGCGCGGAATGTCAACGTGCATGTCGAGCCCGCCATTTTCGAATTTCTTGGCAAAATCACTGTCAGAGTTGTTGTAGATGTGATTCTGGTATTTGGCGCGAATGAAGATCAACAGGTCATTATGCCCATCTTGATGAAGTCAGTCAATGATCAGATGATAACGGTTCATGGCGCTAACCGATGAGCGGATTTTGCTTGAGTATTCTCACAGCTCTTTCTTCGACAGTCAGATTTCCTCCACACTTATGCTTGCGAGGTGTCCAGATTCGAGTGGGTATCTGTGAGGACCACATGACAAATGCGATAAGCAGGAGCACGGCGGAGAAGATGATGCCATTCGAAGGGCGTGTACGCCGTTTTTGAGAGCTATCATTTTGCATAGCTGCATGCTTTTCACGGGCGGTAAACCCAAATGGCTTCTCCATGTTGAACAAGAGAAGTGTGTAAAGGAGGTCAGGTCAAGTGTGAGACTCGGGGGGGTGGTAGATGTACACATAAGTCTTGGCAGTAATACGGATGTGGACGGACTTTGTAGAGTACGGGTGGCGATTACGCCCTAAATGTCAGAATTCATAATTATAAAAAATGGTAACTAGTTATAAGATAAAGATGAGTAATACTAAATTCCTTAAAAATTAAATATTAGTAGAAGTTTTTATACGTTACTTGTTATATTTGTAAGATTTTAGTTTTAATTTTTATAGCTTTAAATCCTGACGTTTATGGCGTAACCGTCACCCGTAGTAGAGTTTAATCCGAAACAACACGCGACGCGAATGCTTGCACACGCATTGTAGCAACGCCGTTCTTCACTCCACATTCCACATCCCAAGCCGTCCCAATTATAGCATTACATATTTCAAAATGCCGTTAATATCAGCAAACAACATGATACGCAGCATATCGCTGTTCCACCTCACCCTCGCAGTTACCCTGCTGAGGAATCCCGCCTTGATAGCGAAGCAGGGCATCGTTCTTGTCCTTGAGCAATCAATGCAACTCGTACGCGTCCCAATCATCAATTGAGGCTACACTCAGATGGCCAAACAAGTCGCTGACAGTCTCCAGCCCACACCGCACGAATTCACCAAGCCCTCTGCATCAATCGCCTTTCTGGCCGTCCTCTTTGCCTTTATCGGCATCAGCGATCTGACGTCTCTCTCGCTTCACGAACAAATTTCCGACGAATACTGGGGTCTCCAAGCACCCGTGCGCCTATTCTTCCTCTTCGCCGTCACCGGTTACTCGTACGCATTCAAGGAGGGCGGTCTACTTGGGGCAAAGGGTGCGGACTACAGAGCAAGCGTGGGTGCGGGCTTGAATAACAGCATCCTCTTTACCTGGGGTTTCTTGGAGATTGGAATATGGTTCTGGGTGTACACTGCGTTGAGGGAGGAGAGGGTGGCCAAAGCAAAGATTGTTGCTGAGAAGCAGGCAAGGGAGAACAAGCAGCTTTAGGTGGCTGGCCACGTTATGGAGTCGGAACACGCTTCCGAAATTATTCGGGGGCAGACGCCGTATTCCTATACGTACGCGGACTAGGGGAACTCAATTGCAGTGAGTGACGGGTTGGTGGGAGCACTTTGGTCTTGTTTGTACCAAGCGCATGGCTTCCTCATAGATTATGAGACGAAGAACACGGCCGACCTTTTTTTGATATGATTGCAGCGCGTTCACTTACACAAACTAGACTAGATAGACGGCGCATGGGGTTTGAATTGAGTAATTTAGGACAATGCTTGTTACTTGATGTGCCATGCACGAATACGATGGCGCATTCCGAGCGTTCGGGACCGGCCGCACTTATCTAGGCCCAAGACACGACTCCACCGTTCGCCTTCGCGTCTCCCCCACTCTTGCAAGCACTACAGCCAGCTACGCTATATGCTAACAAATGGTTTCCTTTGCAAACCCTGCTGTTTCTTCTTCTCCTTCGAGTGACTACGGGTGAACGAGGCTTTTTGCAGGATACGACCGTATACATCAAACATCATGGACGAGGCGGGGTGCATCAGTTACAACAATGCGATCGAGGAGCTTCGCGCCAAAGAGTATCCCATGTTGCAGGGTGGGTGCAGCAATATTTGTTATAGGATATAGGATATAGGCTCACACCAAACAGACACAACCTACCTTGACCATGCAGGGACTACGCTCTACTCCAAGTCTCTCATCGAGCGCTTCTCCGCCGACATGATGACCAACCTCTACGGCAACCCGCACTCGGCCTCCAACGCCTCCCAGCTGACCACACGCCGAATCGAGGATGCGCGACTACGCCTCTTGCAATTATTCAACGCCGATCCGCAAGAGTTTGACGTGGTCTTTGTCGCAAACGCCACTGCTGGGATAAAACTGGTCATGGAAGCGTTTCGTGACCAAGATGGTGGGTTCTGGTATGGCTACCATCGAGATGCGCATACGAGTTTGATAGGCGTGCGCGAGGGTGCCACTGAGCACAGGTGCTTCGCTTCGGATGCGGAAGTGAATGCGTGGGTCGAGGGTGACGAGAATGAGTTTGGTACTGCACAACTATTCGCATACCCAGCGCAGTCTAACATGAATGGGCGTCGTCTACCGTTGGATTGGTCGCGCCGCATTCGCACCAACAAGCGCGACTCAGTGTATACCCTGCTAGACGCTGCAGCCTTAGTCTCTACATCGCCCCTTGACCTTGGGAACCCCGACGAGGCCCCCGACTTTACAGTGCTGAGCCTGTACAAAATGTTTGGCTTTCCAGATCTTGGCGCACTTATCGTCAGGCAAGCATCAGCATCGATATTCGACAAGCGACGCTACTTTGGCGGTGGCACCGTCGACATGGTCGTGTGCCTCAAGGAACAATGGCATGCAAAGAAGGCAGAGTCACTCCATGAAAGGCTAGAGGATGGTACGCTACCTATACATAGTATCATGGCGCTCGATAGCGCAATGACTATTCACCAGGAACTGTATGTCTCATTGGAAAGGATCTCAAGGCACACTGCTTTTCTTTCCCAAAGACTACACCAAGAGCTCCTATCGTTGCGGCACGGAAATGGCCAACAGGTCTGCTACGTCTACAAGGACCCGGCGTCGACGTATGGAGATTGTCTTACTCAAGGTCCAATTGTTGCCTTCAATCTCCAAAACCAATATGGTGGCTGGGTTAGCAACGCAGAGGTGGAGAAACTGGCTGCAATCAAGAACATCCAGCTCCGAACTGGCGGGCTCTGCAATCCTGGTGGAGTTGCATC